AGTGAGAGTGAATGTGGAGGAGCCTCCTGCAGATATCCAGCATGCCACCCATTAAAACGCTTTCTTATCTCACTCACATCCATCATGCCGTTACAAAGGGTAAAATCTTCTTCCTTTTCATAGCAGTGTTCCATTGTGTAAAAGTACCACAACATTAAATAAGGTGTTTTTTTTTTTTTTTTTTTTTATTTGAGAGAGAGCGAGAGAGAGGGAGAGGGAGAGGGAGAGGGAGAGGGAGAGGGAGAGGGAGAGAGAGAGAGAGAGAGAGAGAGAGAGAGAGAGAGAGAGATTGGCTGCCTCCTACATGCTCCCTACTAGGGATCGAGCCTGCAACCAGGGCATGTTCCCTGAGCCGGAATCGAAATGGTAACCTCTTTTTTGTTGTTGTTTTTGTTTTCATCCACTTGTCTAATGATGGAATAAACTAGTCAGAGAAAGACAAGCATCATATGATTTCACTCATATGTGGAGTTTAATTAACAAACTGAACTATCAAGCAAAATAGAGACAGACTCAGAGAGAGCAGGCAGCTCTGATGTGTGTCTGGGGAGGAATGGGGTATTGTGGGAGTGATTGAGCAAAAAACAAAATAAGTGTACCAGTGTTTGTGTGGACATGTTTTCATTCATCTTGGGTATATACTTAGGCATAGAATTGCTGGGTCAGATGGTAATTCTACTTTAACTTTTTGAAAACCTGCCAGGCTATTTTCCAAATTGACTTGTATCTCTATATTCCCACCTGCAGTGTTTGAGGGTTGTAATTTCTCCACTTACTATTTTTTGTTTTTTATATAATAGCCATCCTAGTGGGTGTGAGGTAATATCTCATTGTAGTTTTGATTTGCATTTCCTTAATGACTATTCATGTTGAGCATCTTTTTATATACCTATTCACCATTTGTATTTCTCTTTTGGTGAAATATCTAATCATATTCTCTGTCCTTTGAAAAATTTAGTTATTTACCTTATTGAGTTGTGTCTCTTTTAGATTCAAATCTATTATCAGATACATGATTGGTACACATTTTCTTGTATTTTGTGGTTTGTCTTTTTGGTTCCATTCTGGTGTTATTTTAAACACAAAGACTTTTTCATTTTTAAGAAGTTTTAATTTTTAATTTGTTGTTGCTTGTGCTTTTGTTGTCCTTACTAAGAAACCACTGCCTAATTCAGAAATTTAGCTATGCCCATGTTTCTCCCAAGAAGGTTTTAAAATAGTTTCAGCTCTTACCTATGGGCCTTTGATTCATGTTGGGTTATTTCTGTGTATGTAAGATGTAATATAGGGGTCCAATGTTATTTTCTCTATGGATAATCATTTATTTCAGAACCATTTGTTGAAAAGACTATTCTTTCCATTAAATTGTCTTGTCTGGTATCAATTTTCCACAAATCTAAGGGTTTATTTATAGAATCCCAATTATGTTTCATTGATCTATAATTCTATCCCTATCAACAATACCACACTATCTTGTTTACTGTAACTTTGTAGTAAGCTTTGAAATTGGGAAATGTGAATCTTCCAATTTTGTTCTCTTCTTTCAAGTTTCTTTTGGCTATTCTGGGTCTTCTATATGAGTTTCAGAATCAGCTTGTCAATTTTTTAAAGAATGGCATCTGGAATTTGATGTGGATTGTGTTGAATCTGTAGATCAATTTGGGAAGTACTGTCATCTTAAGTCTTTTAATTTAACACAGGATTTCTTAACTTTTAGTTCTTCAAACAGTGTTATGTAGTTGCAGATTATAACTATTAACCTTTCTTTTGTTAAATTTGTTCCTAAGTATTTTATTCTTTTGGATACTACTATAAATTGAATTGTTTTATTAATTTCAATTTTATACTGTTCATTGATAGTGTATAGAAATACAAATGGTATTTTTGTATACTGAGTAAATTATGTTTTAACATCAAAATAATCTGATGCTAATGTGGAAAATAAACTGAAGTATATATAACTTCCTATTTGTACAGTTTAGGATGAAGTGACTAGGAATCTCCATAAGTACCTTCTTTGTCAAAGGTAGAAATGCTTATTTCCCACAATACAAAATTCTGATTCCTTTTATGTTTTCTCTGATTTAAATTTACTTAGCTTCTGCTAAATATAAAGTGAATTGGTGTTGGTTTATGAATTTAATTCTTTTAAAAACATTTTTTAAATTAATATCAGAGAGGATAGAAACATGAATGATGAGAATCATTGATTGGCTGCCTTCTGCACGTCCCCTACTGGGACTGAGCCCTCAACCCGGGCATGTGCCCTAACTGGGAATCTAACTATGATCTCACGAGCACACGAGCTGGGCTGAATTGTTTTAAAATGAAAAAATAAATCACTTGCTGAAAATATTCAGAAATGTACTTCAATCTGGATATTTTTAATGAATGTGTGAAAAAGTTTAAAATTAACCTTCACCATAATTAAATGCTGTAAAAGTAGAAATTATTGATAGTGATAGCTGAAAAAATGAAAATTGTTAAATAATATTAAGGCACATATTGTATTCCTTGATTAGTTTTAGGATTTTCCTTTCTTTTGTTCTTTACTGGAAAGTTAGTTTTATGTAATTGATATGAAAAAATCAACTCATGTTAGATATTTGCCATCTATGGGTAAGAGTGCAGAAGGACAGAAGAAAATGTAATTTTCTGTTCCACTGTAAAGCTCATTCATGTATTTTATTTATACATTTATCAATCATCTACTGAATGTGTGATACATAACAGAATGGTTTCATTTCAACTTCAGTTCTGTCTGGCTTCTCATAAGCCAGTAGCCCTAGGACATGATGTATGTAATATTTAGTTGTAAACTCCATTTGTATAAAAATTTCAAATATTTTAAAATAAAATGACAAGTTTATAATTTTCCACATTTACTTTTAATATGCCAAATGATCTAATTCTCAGGACAAATTATTAACCAATATGCATATAATCAATCCATTTAAAATGTTCCTTCAGACTATATTTTTAAGAATATTATAGTTATTTAATATATATTTATTATATACTAGAGGCCCAGTGCACAAACTCATGCACCATTGGGGACCCTCAGCCTGACCTGAAGAATTGGGCAGAAACTGGCTCTCTAACATCCCCTAATGGGTTCTGGATTGTTAGAGGGTGCAGGCTAGGCCGAGGGACCCCACCAGTGCACAATTTGGGCTGGGGAGGGACCACGGGAGGGCTCCAGGGCATGTCTCTCCCCCTCCGCTGTCTTGCTCAATCCTGATCAGCTGGACACCAGCAGCTACATTGTTTCTCAGAGAAATATGCATATATAATACTACTTATTTTACTTCATGTACAATTAAAATGAACTTTTTAAGTAATTAAGGAATGAATGAAGGCACATTTGCTAGAGCTTAGAAGCCAGGAATTGCATGGGAAATGACTGCAGCAAACTTCATTTTAAAATTCTTTAAATATTACTCTCCATATGTGTTTTGTTAAACTTTCAGCCCTAACATATATTTTAGGAAGACAATGTTTTCCTTTTCATCATTTGTTGAGTAATAGAGATTCTATATATCCATTATTAAGGTAATATTGAGCTTTGTCATCAACATTGTTTTAATAAAATATTAGTAACCTGTCACTAGACTGCAAGCATAATTTACATATTTTATTATGACATAAGAGCAAAAATTGAACTGTTTTTAAATTGTAGTTTTCTACTTTGTGAATTTTATGATGTCTTATGTACATTATTGTTTTAAGTAATCACACCAAAATTTTCATAGACTGAACTATTGAAGCCTGACCCATCCCAATTTGTTTGGATGATGGTAGTATTTTTAGTGCCCTGAGAGATTCACCTACTGAATATGTCTGTTAATGTCATATATTGCATTAACAGATATCTGACACTAGAGTGTAGGAATGTTGGGTGAATATTTCCAAATAAAATCTTTTGTCCAAGATTACACAAAGACCACCTGAGTGGCTGCAATAAATAAGTTTACTTCTCTGTGTTCCAGGTTTTACACTCTTAAAATTGGGATACTTGTCCTAATTCCTTCCCACACTGGGATAGTAAAGATCTCCTATTTGTTTTTAATAAGAGAAAAACTAATTCCAAGGGCTATTGTAATAGGAAATAAAAATAAATTTCAGAGAAATATTTCTATAAATCTATAAGCCTATTTCCACAAGTCTTTATTCCAGACATTAAATCACATAACAATAAAATGTAAAAAACCACTCTTTATTGCACATTTACCATACATTTGACAGTCTTATAGTTAAATGAATCATTAAGTTGATTACATTTTGGACATGCATTGCTGTCTTAGACTACTGAAAATCAGTAAAAAAAATTTTTTTTTTTAAATTTCTTTGGGTGAGTAATCTTGTAATTCAAAAAGTGTTAATATACCTCTCCAAGTTTCTATTGGTGAGAGTCTCTTTTAATATTTACTATTCTCTTCTTATAATAATTTAGAACGTTGCACTAAAGCTACTTTTCTGTCTGTAAAAAAAAGGATAGTCCGCTTTCTCAGTAATAGAAAGGGACATTATTAGGGATGACTGGAAACCAAAACGGAGAATATATCCTGTTAGATTAGTTCCAGAGAATATGGTTTATTTTTAATGCATATAATATGCCTGAGATTAAGTGGTGAATGACTAAATATTTTTTTCTGATATCTATCCAAATTATTTCATTTTGTATTTTTACTACTTATAAGTGGAGGAAAACCTCAGTCTTTACAATGAAGATAAGTATAAAAGAGACACTATAAAATTAGAGCCCACAAATCCGAAATGAATAACTATGACATTAATAGTGCATTGTTGCTAAAAGCTAGACAGATAAAGTTTAATCTGTTACATGAAAAACATTAATAAGTTACTTATTTTCAGACTTTCTATAAACACCCACATTTTATATAATAACAACATTATAAAATTTCAAAGCACACTTAAAAATGTTTAATTGTTATCTACATTATCTGTGATTGTTCAATTGTGGTAAGATGTGAAAATTCCTAAAACGGAAAGAAAAAATAGCAAAGAAAGCAGAAAACGATGAATCCAATGATCCAGTTCACTGAATAAATATAGATGATCACCATATCCATGTCAAACCACCAACCACGACTATCATCCTCAAAGTGCAGGTAATCCATTCTGTGTGCCCCGTGTGGGAACTGCCTCCTTGTAACTGGAGCTGCACGTCTGTGGAAACCTGGAAGTTGTATGAACATGTTATTTTAAAGTTCTTTAAATTCAGGTAAGTGATCAGAGAGGATGCTGCATTATGAACACAGGTTCCATGAACTGAGCATACTGAAGTTTTACTGAGTGGTTTGCCTATTCCTGACAGTTTTTTCGGTGATAAGTAACTTTGAGAAGTCTCTTTTAGTTAAGGGTTTTAAGGGTAGGAACAGTAAAATTAGCAAAGCTAAATTAGCTAATTAAATAAAATTAGGAAAGCTAAAATAAAATGAGCTTTAATTTTTTATAAATTTCTAATTGTACATCTACTTAAATGATTGCCATGACCAGGAATCAAGACTCAAACCTTTTTGGTGTATGGGTTGATTCTTTAACCAACTGAACCCCCTGCCTGGGGCAATACATGGATATTTTAATATATCATTCCAACAATAGATTTCTATTGGAGTGAGAAGCTTCTTTACTAGGAATTCACTTTTACACAGACTTAAGTATATCCTACTATTGGTAATAAACTGATAATAATTAGTTTGGTATTATCATGATTTAAAGAGTATTCACTGTTATTTGTACATTTTAGCTATGCTACTTTAAAGTAAATTACACAATAAAGACACATACTTCATGCTTTTCTGGCTACACAATAGTGCAATGAAAATCACTCTCTTTAAGCAATCAGAAAATTTGGATTCTTGTGCCAATATTATCCATACTCATTATCTGGTCAAGTCAAAATAGTGTCTCTGTATCTACCATGTTTCCCCGAAAATAAGACATTCTCCAAAAATAAGACCTAGCACATGGAAAGATAAGACATCCCCTGAAAATAAGACCTAGCGCAACTTTGGGAGAAAAAATTAATATAAGACACTGTCTTATTTTCGGGGAAACAGAGTAATGAGCTGTTCATATGGCTTTCCCCTCTTTAATCTGATAATGTGATGAATTCAAATAGGGTTTTTTAAAAAGATGTTGAACACATTTTAAAAGATCTATTTAAGTTATAAAGTGATAGATTTTCCAACATTTTATCATTTGAGAGGCTTGATAAGAGTCTCAGATAATATGCTAATTATTTATTCCTACATACTTAGGATAAACTTCATGTATTCATGATATTGGTTTTTATGCACCAGTGAATTCAGTTTTGTATATTTTTATGACATCTTTATGCCTATTTGTGTAAGGAAGATTGGTCTATAATTTCTGTTTTATGTTATTTTTTCCTGGTTTGTATATCATGATTTTATTGGCTTCATAAAACATGTTGGCAGTGAGGTGACAATTCTCCATGGATATCTCTACCTCTTGCAAGCAGAGGTACTGACTGCCTTTGTTCTATATTGTTTTTGAGAATTATTTCTATAACAAATAGTCTTGGGAGATAGTATATCCTTCTGTGAAGGCTTGGTTTGTAGCCTAAGAACAGCACAGTAAATGCCTGTTAAGAAATGTTTGAGTTTTGTAAGCTTAGAGCTCTCCATGGTAATGCATCGCACCACATGTGTAGATAGCATCTGGCCCTATTGGTAAGACTCTGTAAGAGGGGAGCACATCACAAATGCTGCTGCTCTGGCTACTGCTGTGAATAATAAACTGTCCAGCGTCCATGCAATTGGAAGAATTAAAGAAGAACCAGCCTTCCAGAATCTCAAACATGTACTCCTGCTTCTCCATAAATTTTACTTTGTAAACATAATTTAGCTCACAATTTCTCTCCTATCTGAGAAAAAACAAGGCCATGACTTATTTTTCCCAGAGAATATGGTCCAAATTAATATTTGCTATCAAACCCCATAAAGTTACCTACATTATTTTGATTATTTTTTCAAAGACAGAAAGATTGTCAAGTTTTCTTGAGATATTCATTTTTGAAATTTTAGCAACTTGCATAGAGTTTATAGTCGGTATTTAATATGTGTTTGTTGAAAGGGTACCTGTATATAAAAGGATGTACTTAAGGGAATAAATAATTAGCTTATAATCTGAGACTGTCCCAAATAAAGCCTTTCAAATGTATTTTCAATAGGAACTGAATATTATTATAAAACTACTTGAGACACTATTTATAATTCAGAGCCCTGAAATTAGTATTGAAAAGGAGATATGTCCTATCCTTCATGTAATGGGACAAGGGTTGAAATACAGTGTTATTCTGCTCTGTATTCTTCATATTACATAAGAATTTTGATGTGCCAAAAGTTGATTGATATAAGTAGGCCTTAGCAGAGGTGGAGTGATATTTCTGTAATCCCAAGTAAGTATAGAGTTACTTTGTTAATATCCTCAAAAACAATGCAAAAATGGATTTTAAATTTCATCTTTATCACCTATCACTTTAGGATTGCAGAGTGAAATATATATAAATTCCACAGAATTAAACTTTATATTAAATAAGTTAAATATGTTGCAGATTATTTATAATTCTATAACACTTAATTTTTAATATAGTTTATAAAATTAGGCTAAGTTATAAAAATTTTAAATATTTTGTTTCTGTAACCAGTCAGAAAAGTCATTATTAAAAACATTTTTATTGTAGTAAAATATATATAACAGATTTATCATTTTAACCATTTTCAGTATACAATTCAGTGGTATTAATTTCATTTACAAAGTTGTGCTACAATCAATACTATTTCAGTGTTGTTGTTTTTCATTACCGCGAAGAGAAACTCTCTAGCCCAATTCTCTACTCTCTCTAGTCTCTGGTAACCTCTAGTGTGCTCTCCGTTTCTATGAACTTGACTATTCTAGATATCTCATATAAGTGGGATCATACAATATTCATCCTTTTGCATCTGGCTTATTTCACTTAATATTTTCAAGAGTCACTGGTATTGCTGCACATATCAGAACTTCATTCCTTTTTATGGTTGAGTATATTTCATTTTATGTATGTACCACATATGTTTGTTTATTAATTTGTTATATAGATATTTGGCTTGTTTCTATCTTTTGGCTATGGTGAGTAATGCTGCAAAGAACAGTGGCTACAAGTATTTGCTTGAGTCCCAGTTTTCAATTCTTTTGGGCATATCGTCAGGAATACATCTGTTGAATCATATGGTGAATTTTATGCTTAGCTTTTTGAGGAAACTACAAACTGTTTTCATAGTGGGATGTATCATTTTACATCCCAACCAGAAATGTTGAGGGTTCCATTTATCCATCAATGGACACTTTGGTTGTTTCGTACCTTGGCTATTGTAAATAATGCTGTCATGAACATGGAAACACAGATCTCTCTTCAAGATAATCATTTTTGTTTCTTTTAGCTATATATGCCCAGAAGTAGGATTGCTTTAGGAACCTCCTTATGGTTCCCCCTAGTGGCTGTACCAGTTTACATTCCCATCAAAAGTATACACAGGTTTTCTTTTTTCCACATCCTCACCAGCATTTGTTTCTCTGTATTTTCAGAAAATGTGTTGTTAGTGTATAGAAACACTACTGATTTTTGCATGTTCATTTTGTATCTTCCAATATTGCTACATTGATTAGTTAAAAAATTATTTTCGGTTGATTCTTTAGGATTTTCTATATTTAAAAAAACCTTCTGTAAATAGAGACAATTTTACTTCTTCCTTTCCCATTCTGATGCCTTTGTTTTTCTCAGACCTCGCTCTGGTTAGAACTTCCAATATACGTTAAGTAAAAGTGGCAAGTGGGCACCTTTGTCCTAATCCTGATCTTAGAGGAAAAGAGTTCACTACTGAGGATACAGTGTGGGGCAAAAGTAGGATTATAGTTGTGAGTATGCAAATACAGTGTTTATTCTTGTATTATTTTCCCTACAAATCCCTGTGAACCTACTTTTGCCCCACCTTATATTAGCTGTTGACTTGTCATATATGGCCTTCATTATGTTGACGCATGTTTCTCCTATACCTGCTTTGTTTTTATCATGAACAAATGTTGAATATTGAAAAGTGTTTTTCTTGAGTCATTGAGATCATATTCTCATTCTATTATTGTGATTTATCACATTGAATGATTTTCACATATTGAGCCATCCATGTATCCCAGAAAAATCTGATTTGATTAGGGTGAATGAGCCTTTTAATGAGCCACTGAATTTGGTATGCTACTTTTGTTGAGAATTTTTGGATCTATATTTATCAGAGATATTGGCCAGTAGTTTAATTTTCTTGTAGTGTCCATATTTGGCCTTGGTATCAGGACAAATGAGCTTGAAAAGCCTCAGATGTGGCCATGAGTTGTTTGTATAATCTCTTTATATTTATTTATTAAATTTACTGGGGTGACATTGGTCAACATAAACATAAGTTTCTGGTGTGCATTTGTATAATCTCTTTTAAACTAAAGCAGTAACCTTATTTTTTGTTCTGTGTGAAATCTTAGGACATATCATATAAATAATGTAGAATAAAATGACTTGAAAGCAAATATTTATACATATATATCAGAGGGAACTAAAAATTTCTAGTCATTTTAAAGAGACATTTTTAAAATTCTCTTTGGAATGTTTTGAGAAATTATCCTTATGGCCTTCCATTTTCTCAGAGCAGTAAAAAAGTAATAAACAGAAAAACCAGCCCTATGCCATATGTTACTGTTTTCTCTCTTTGATATTTTAGGAAAAGGATATTTAAATGCAGTAATAAAGAAAAATTAATGGGATATAAACTAAATGTTTTTAGATATATTTTCAGATTATACCATACATCTTTAATTTATATATAACCTTACATTAATCTACCTATAAAATATTTTAGAAATACAGTATAGATTTTAAGTGATAAGCAATATAGAATTGTTCACAAAGCAGTAGTGAACAAATTTCTAAAATTTCTCAACAAAACCTTGAATTTACTACAATACAATTTTAGAGAAGTTAAAACATGTACGTAGAATACAACTTTGCTAATAAAAGCCACTTCATTGCCAGCACAGTTGTGAAGTTTCTGTTTAAAATATCCTAAACTGTTTTGGTTAATTATAACACAAGCCTGATACTGTTGGTGCAGATAAATATTTCCATATTAT